CGCCCCGCCCCGCCCCGCCCCGCCACGCGAGAGCCAGCGGAAATGAAAGGTGTTAAGGCAGAGGTTGCGCTGCGCACGGGGGTGGAGGATGGTGTGGCCTGCTGTACTTCTTGGACCGCTCCATGTTTGAAAGCCGAAAAGGAAAAAAAAGAAGAGAAGAAAAATAAGGGCAAGAGAGGAGAGGGAGCGAGACAGGACAGCGAGAGGAAAACGTCCGATAATCCTTTGGAGAAGTGAAGGGGGAAGGCGGGATTTGTCTGCGGCGAGGCGACGCGCTGCACCGTAAGGCCCCCGTTGGGGCTGATGGCCGCTCTCAACACAATTGCAGGAAAATAGAAAAGGAGGGAAGCGGGGGTCGGGGCAGTGGCCACGCTGTCGCTGCAAGAGAGGAACTCCTTGATGTACACTGGTCTTGCGGCCCGCGGCGCCGTCAGCGACAGAAGCGGTCCGGCGAGAGCCAGGTGTCCGTGTCGGACTGGTACAAACTCTGCTATTTATTCTACGGGGTAACTTGCGCGAAACCGTCCCTTCCACGCGCCCTCTCCTATCTCACCCCCTTCTGCTCCCCTCCTGCTCCCCTCCTGCTCCCCTCCTACTCTCTCTCTCATTTCCCCCCGTCGCCGCGGCCGCCACTTTCCACGACTGCATAACGTCTTTCCCAAACTTCAATTATCGGGGACTGTTCAACGGAACTGAATTAATTCTCCCCACCCTCGAGCGCCGGCTGAGCGAATATCTGCTGTGAAAATGGCTGCAGTCATCAGCGGGAGAAATCGTTTAATAGGATTCCAAGAGGGCGGTGCGGCGCGGCGGGCGCGTCCCGCTGGAGGGTGTCAGGCCCGCGCCGCCCAGCTGCTCGTGTTTACCGCAAAATTAATTTGAATCCTCCTTTCCTTTCCTTTCCTTTCCTTTCCATTTTGCAGGTAAGTGGCTGCGATGCCTGCGATGCCAGCTCACAATCAGCAGGCCACAGGAGGAGGTCCCAAGGGACCACCGCGCTGTGGACAGCAGGTTTGCAGGTACCAATTGATCTGCCGGCTTCGACTCCTTGCTGGCTACGTCTTCTCTATGGGACCTGCGAGAGACGCTAAGTTGCTCTCTCCAAGTTTTCACAATTCGTTTAAGACTGTCATTGGGGAATGGCGCGACCAGAGAAAAACACCGACTCTCTTTGATTGGAGTCATTCCTCTCAGAGTTCGCCTCGCGACTTGTCTGACGGCGCCGTCGTCCCAACGTGTCGCGGGCGCCGGGTGGCGGGATGGGTCGGGGTGGAGCGGGGTGGAACGGACGGGTCACGCGGGGTCACGCGCACAGGATGGCGACGCGTTGTCAAAGGTTTGACATCCACTTTGAGATATTGCCCCTGAGCATTCGACAGCCCCACGCGGGAGCCCTCGGGGCGCGCGTTGTCTCGCAGCATCACGCCGACCTGGGGGAGGAAGGTGCGGCGGTATCATGCTCCTCGTCATCCCGACCCCCCACCCCCTCGCCCTGCCCGTCTGATCGTCACCATGAATAACAAACTTGCGCCAGGGTGAGGCGAGCCGCCCATTGACACAGAAAGTTGTGCTGGTGATGCTGTTGTCTCTGACACCACAACTCGGGCGCCGGCTCGGAGTGGTATCAGCAGACAAGACGTTTGTTCTGCCGCGCGCCTCTGCTGTCGCCGAGTTTGACAGCAAACAGGACAGGATGCGGTGGCGTCGCGGACGCGCTGCTCCTGAGTGAGTTTGCACAGTGTACATGTTAGGCATTCGTGGAGCAGTGTCGTTCACGGCGACTTGCAGTTTCGTCACACTTGCCATACGGAGCAGCTGAGAACGAGCAACTAACACTTCTTTGTCGTCAAAAATCGAGGATTTTTGCTGTCGTAATTTGAAATATTTTTAGATCAATCGAAATACTTTTAAAGATAATCAACTTTTGGTGAAGAAGTCTTAGCCTTTCCCCCAAAAAGCTACATGACAGAAATGTTCTGTTGTTTACTTTGCACTTTTTCTACGTTTTTCTAATCCAGGCCACCAGGATAAGTTCTGATGTCTGCTTGTAACGGTAGCCTATGTTGTGAAGTGAAGATATCCCACTAGAACTGTTTGGTTCTGCGAAGTTGTTCTCTCTGCACTTGTTCTAACGTTTTTTCGTAGGATTTGTTTGTTCTGGCGACGGTAGCGAGTGCTACGTAATGGCGGGTTTACGATGGAGTTGGTGATTTCGGAACAGAACGAGATTTTAGCGGAACAGAACAAAATTTTCGGGTACGGAACGAAGGGTGTTCATGATGTTTCAG